GAGCGTTCACACTCCTGGGACGTTATTGTTGAACTTCGCCCACTCTAGCCTTTGTATTCAAAAGAAGTTTGTTCTACCCTTGTATCACATATGGCCTAGATAACATTGATTAATTAATCAATTAAAATGATCGACTCTTTTCTTATCTGAATAAAACAAAAAATGTACCAGCATAATATGCGCTCATCTTTCATTATTTCGACGAATCTTCTTAACAGTCTACTACCTGAACAATACAATAATATAATAGAGAAGATTTGTAGCTCAAGTGGATGATTTGCAATTAGTATTGTTCTCAGGACAAATTACAAAACAAGATCAATGGCGAATGAAATCTAACGGACCTACTTTACCTCGATTTTATGATAGACCAAAACTAGACAAACTAAATATTCCCCTACGACCAATCATGCCGCTTCCAGGAACACCAACATATAATCTATCTAGAGAACTTTTCAGGAGATTAAAATACCTAACAGAATCATGCAACCATTCTAGCAATTCGTCAATCCACTTATGAGAGGAAATCAAAAACATCCAAGTGGATGACAATGCAATAATGGTGTCCTTTGATGTCACAGCATTATATACTTCAATTAGTCCAAAACTAGCAACAGAAACTATGCAACAATTACTCTATAGTGATGCAAACATAAAAACGCAATGTTCAACTTGGACAGAACTCATAGAATTATGTTCTGCAACATACTTCCAATTCAACACTCAAATATACAAACAGGAACACCAATGGGATCACCCATATCAGGATTAATAGCTGAAGCCGTTATGCAAACATTAGAATTAATAGCTCTACCTATAATTAAACCGAAAATCTGGATACGTTACGTTGATGATACATTTGTAATAATTGAGAGAAGTGATTTAGAATATACTCATAAATTAATAAACAACATACTTGAAGACATCAAATTCACGAGAGAAGAAGAATTAGATAACAAAATCCCATTTTTAGATTTCTTAATCAGGAGAACCAACACAGGAGATTTAGAGACGCAAGTTTATAGAAAATCAAAGCACACAGATCAAATGCTCAACTATAGTAGCAATAATCCAATTACTCACAAACGAAACTGTGTGCAGACATTGTTTAAAAGAGTTCAAAGACACTGTAGCCCTCCCGTGTTGAAGAGAATTGAGGAAAAATACCTACTAACCGTCTTCAAAAAGAATGGATATCCACACAATTTCATCAAAAAGTGTTTAAAATCGAATCACAACACCGGCAAGGAACCATCATCAAAGACCACAAGAAAATTCATCCTACCACATATAAAAAATATCTGTGAAATAACAGCTAGAATATTAAGACCATTTGAAATAGATATAGCACACAAGCCAGCCAGCACAATCACTTCATTCGATGCTGTGCAAACCCAAAGATACAACAAAAAACAAGACAAAATTAATACCATTTACAAAATCAATTGTATGAATTGTAACAGACACTAAATCGGTCAAAGTGGGTGTACCCTTCGAATCAGAATCCGGGAACACAAATTAGCTGTGAAAAGACATGATATATATTCTTTCATATCAATGCATGTAAATAATTATGGACATCAATTTGAGGATTGGGATAATGTCGAAATTTTAAACAGAGGAAACACCAAAAACGCAATCAGAGAATTCCTAGAAGCCTGGTACTCAAGCGAATATGCGACTAACAAACATGTTAATACAGACCAAATCTACCAACTAATGAAAAGTAAATCGTGTGACAAGAAAGTTTAAAATCCAAGTCAATAGAAAATGATCAATACAGATGTAAATCGACCACCAGTCATGCAGATGGTTACCAGGAGACGCAATTATATCACTCATGGAGAATTTTATATCAGTTCAGTTTATGCTAAAAATTGCGCTTAAGATGTTGTCCAGAGGGACGATGAAAGCTTCACAACTAAACCAACCAGCTCAGAGAACACACATAATTACAATTATATATAAACTACAATAATACACTTGAACATGCCTTTTTGCGATGACAAGTAGTAATTGATTGGAAATAAGATTGACATGACTACGGAATGACGTGAGTTGTTAAATTATTAAAAGTTAAAAGGAATGACCACTTATAGGATCATTGGACCAATACTTGATATTCAACTTGATATAGACAGTAAAATCGTACGGCACATCAGCACAACAAGGAGATCCGAAGGACAGTTTACCTGAACTTCAAAAGCATCTGACCTATAAGTTACAAAAAGGGATTGGTAAGAACACTGTTTGGTCGTGTGAGGAAGCTTTGCTCAAAAGAAAAGGTGTAGGAGGAGTTACCCAGTGTGGAAAAAGGTCTGCATGATAATGGTTATCCACAGAAGTCTATCTGAAAATAACATACACAGCCGCCATGCTTGTATTCGTGCATCACACGGTCAGTTGCTTAAGACAATCAAAAGTGGACAAACTCCCACCACATGTTACTGCCAAATGTGTCTACCAATCTGCATGTACGTGTCAAAGCACAGACACTGGAATAACAAAGAAAAGGGTTATTGCCCGCATTTTTGAACACATACCAAAGAACCTGAGACTAAAGGATTCATAGGTATTAAACAGTACGTCTGTGTGCCATGTATTGGACATTGGTCATATTGTGGACAGTCTGAAGGCATTTGAAACCATCAACAGACAAACGAAATCTAGCTCTCTGTGTTTTGATGAAGCGATCGCTATCAAAAGATTGAAGCCAAATCTATACCGACAGAAGGAGACGGTTAGAAATTTCGCACTGCCTTGATAATTAAACTTATCTAAAAAAGTATATGATATCGTTACTTACGTTATGTAAACTCTTATACCTTCTGTACATAACGTATTGGTTTGTAGGGATTTGACTGACTGGTTACAGGATTTCATCATGAGCTGACATCGGTTAGAGAATCATTGGAAAACCTGGGAGTACTCGACAGGTAGGTAGTTACCTGTGGTTACCTGGGTACCAGTGGGAAGTCATGACCAGTAGGTCGGGTGTGAGGAGAAATATTCGCCAGCGATGACATTTGCTGGTGCCAGTAGCACTATGTCGTGAATTGGCAGAAGTTGGAATTCACGGGCCATTGGGTCGGGTCCCAGTGGTTTAATGCTCTAAGTCCTCGCTGTCCTTGTAACCAGAAGGTCCTGGGTTCGAACCCTGGTGATAGGAGCGTACTGATGAAGAGTCTCAAACTAGAACGAAACAACCTTTTAGTACTCCCAGTAGGTTTTCCAATGTTCCTCTAACAGATGTCACTTTATGATGAAATCCTGCAAAATATTTATTGTTTTAACTGAAGGTTACTCACCCTACTCCTGTTGGCTACTTTATAAAAGCTTATTTCCTGTAGTTACTTAACCTTTTATATTGTTATACTCTTTCTGGTGAAACTTTGTTTCTACCCAAAAATTTTGAACTCTAGTTAACCTATAAATAATCAATCCTTCTAACACCTAACAAGTTAACAAATTACATCATTCCGGATTTATGTTACTCTTAGTTCCTATGAATTACTTCTTGTCACTGTGAAAAAGGCATGTTCAAATCTTTATTGTAATTTATATTTTTGTGTGTTGTTCAGGTAGTAACCAGTTGTGAAAAATCCTTGAAATAATGAAATATGAGCTCATATTATCCTGGTGCATTTGTCGTCCTTCCTTATTCTTCGCCCCTTTCATTCATTCATCACATTATTTTAAACTCTGATAATCTATCCACTTTACCTTTAATACTACGTAACTTTTGATTTTATAAGATTTTAACTTAATTTAATTATTGAAATATTTACATTGTCATACTACCTTCGTTATTCTGTTCCCGACAAGCATCAAGTACATTTACATGGATGGTGAAATACTGTGCACCTCAGTATTATGTCAGTTATCTTTAGCTTCTGTTAGTACTAAGCACTCAACGACAAACTTATACTTACCATACAATAAACAGTATATACAGTCAAGTCGTACACATGTGAACAGAAAGCATAGAGGTTGAAATTCTCCGAAAAGATGAGTTTCTTCAAGACTTTCACCAAATAGGCTTTACTGATAGTTTCTTCGAGTTTGACCACGACTGATACGAGTTAGAGAACTATTGAAAACCAGCTGGGATTACTGGACAGCTATTTCCTCCGTCCTAGTTTGTAATCATCGGCAGTACGCACCCACCACCAGGATTCGAACCCACGACTCTGCGGTTACAATGCAAACTCGTATACCATTCAGCCACCACTGGGACCCAATTTAATAGCCAGTAGATAAATTCCAATTTCTACCAATCCGTGATTTAGCGCGACCACCAAACAATGTTATCGGTGGGAACTGCATCCTCACTCCCGACTGGATGGACCTCACTGGTCAGGATTTCTCACTAAAACTCCAGGAAACTCCGTCCTGTAGCAAGTCATTAGCCAGCATCAGATTAATTTTCAAGAGTTGATTTTTAAGGATTAGGTTTGTTTTCCGAGTTATAGAACCACTGGAAACCAAGGAGTCAATCAATTCGTGGTCAAACTCGAAAAACAAACTTAATCCTTACAAATCAGCTCTTGAAAATTTATTGATTGCTACCAAACAGCTAAACATCCAAGTTAAGCAAAGATTAATAATAATAAGTAATTAAAACTTCATTTCTTTGCATTCCCAGCGGAACATAGGGCTTCAAGCTGGAGCTTTGAAGTCCCAACAGCATTGGTGCTTTTATAAGGTGGAGTCACTAACCTCATGCCCAACCTTCCCTCTTTACTGGGCCTACCGCCTAAGCGAGGTAAAGGTATACATCAGCTAGGGATCGAACCCCGGACCAATTGCGTGGTTGCCCAGGGTTCTACCACTAAGCCACCGACACACAAGCAAGGATTACTATAGATTTATTTCTAATGTAATGTAATGCAATTTCAAAAATTCATCTTCATAAGTTGTCATAACTTCAATAAATGCATGAAAAATAATGATAATAGTAATAACTGTGGAAGTAGATGCAAAGAATAGCACAAACTGACCTTTCCATTTGGATGTAGATAAGTCAACACAGGAAATCTGCCACGACTACGAAAACGTGAACTTCCATAGAGAATATTCTTTGATATCATACTTGGGACACATAGCAAAGAAGGATAGGTGTCGCATATCTGGAAAATATATGCATACATACACAAATCCTTCAGCCTCAGAAAAACTATTCAATGATATCATTTAATATCGTAAAGTGGTGAGTCATCAACTGGGATGTCAGCTATGCACACCTTGTTAAGATTAACGATACTATCTGCATCAAATCGATAATCAACTAGATAAAAACCAAATGTTTGAAAAAATAAAAGAGACCACAACGCTAACCGTATTATACACTAATGCAGGGAGAGTTTTACCTTAATCATTTTATCGCAACTCCATTAAACTTTGAGTAGACATGAGAACACCATAATGAATCTGCTTAATCATCTTTTATAAACTGTACCTCATCACTGAGTGTCATTCACTATGCAACATTTTTGAATGGATACTAGGCAGTAACTAGTGTAATGTATCTAGTCCTATCTTTGGTGCAGACTGAATTCTATCAGTCAGCCAAGTCTGCAATGTGGCCACCATGCCACTAGGTGGCTCATCATCACGGTGCACTGTGAATTGTTGGTATCAGATGGTTGGAGGCAATCGGCCACAGCAAGCCTTGGACTTGGGTTTCGTTCTAGTTGGCACTCATCATCATGGCGTATCTGCAACCTCGAAGAAACTGATGTCCCTTCTGAGATTCGAACCCGCGTTACCCAGTCTGCACCGAAGATAAGACTAGACACATTACACTAGTTACTGATTAGTGTCCAATCAAAAACATCCAATACAGTCCTACAGGAGGTCAATCGCGAGCCCGAATAGCTCAATGGTAACGTATCTGACTGCAGAGCTCACTGGGTGACACGGGTTCAAATCTCAGAAGGGACATGAGTTCCTTCAAGGCAGTTGCAGATACGCCTTGATGATGAGTGCCAACTAGCCCAAAACCTAGGTCCAAACAGGAATTCCTGCTGATTGCCTCTAACCATGTAATACCATGCAACATTTCATAATCTAGTTAAACATGAAGACAGATATAATAGACAATCATGATAGAATGACAATTCGATTAGCTTTCGGACTCTCTAGGTGAACAGCAATAGAATTACTTCTTATTATGAAACTCCGTGTGCATAAAACAACTAGATCGGTTGACATATGAATGTATGGCTGTGAGAAAGGAGAGAACTCGAGTAGCCTTATCAATACAGTAATACATTCATTGGCAAACGAAAAGATCAGCGACTACGGAGTGTGAACGCACCAACGACCTTGAACGCATACCACTCATTGGATTACAGAAACTGCTGTGTATTATACATCAAAAAGCCGTTTATATACCAGAAAAATTAACATAGTAATAATGAAACACATTAAAGATGATATTTTACCCTGACGTGACTTAAAAATACTTCCCAATTACAATGAAGGGTGTCAGTCTTCAAGTTGTATACCTATCAAAACAGTTTCACCTATATGAACAAGGGAACACCTCATCCATTAACTTACAAAACACAAATAATAATAATAATAGATCTTAACCCTAATACTAATAATCGTAACACCAATGTGCTATCAATCTGTTATCCAAACAGTAATTAAAAACCACATCAGGATGAAATTCGCATATCGTATCGTGCATAGCGTTCATACTGGCACTGCGATAACGGCAGGTTCTGTAATCCAGTGAAGGATATGCGTTCAAGGTCATTGGTGCGTCCGCACTCCGTGGTCACTATTCTTCAAGGTGGTCCATTCACTTAATCCTGTAGCTAGTGACACAGACTAATATGCTTTACAGGATTGATAATGAGCTGCTAGAGAACCACTGAAAGCCAGGAAGTACTGGACAACCGTTTCGTCCTAGTGTGGGACTCTTCATCAGCACATAACCACCGGGCTTCGAACCCGGGACCTCCGTGTTACAAGGACAGTTCGTAGACTATCCAATCCAGTGACCAGTCCATGAATTTCAACTTCTGCCGATTCATGATATATATTTGGCGCAACCGCCAGCCAGTGTCACTGGCGAGCAACTGTCCTTTTGCCTGACTTCGTGGACCCCGCTGGTTACGTCTTCTTACTAGGACTTCAGATGACTTCCTGTATAGGGCCAGTGGCTGGTGGACATCAGATCAATTATCAAGTGTTGATTTTCAGGGATTTGATTGGCTACAGGACTGGTCACGAGCCGGCATCAGTTAGAGAACCATTGGGACTCTTCATCAGTACCTGATCAACTCTGTAACCAATCAAATCCCTGCATACCAACACTTGATAATATATTTCACTCTCTCTGTCTCTATCTTTCTTTTTTCGTTTTATTGATTTCTTATAACTAACCTCAAAATTGTTATTCACATTCGTTAGCGTCCAGAAAGAATTAGGCAGCCCAAATCGATTATATTGTGATTCCAATGAAAACATCGACCAGCCTTCTTCACGAGGCCAATAACAATCAGGTGGGACGAAACGATAACACGGCAGTTCAGACACATTTGCTGAAGTTATATTCAAGAAGAAAAAAATAAGATAAGTCAAGACAGAACTCATATACTTTATGATAATAAGAGAAAATTTTAAATTTACATGAGTTAAGCTCAATAATTACTTAGGATACATACACTATGAGTTACGTTAAACGCCAAGGAAACCTGGCATAGTGAAACCTTGATTTCGAAAACACAACACCAATATCAATTCAACATACTTTAGATTACAGTTTAGCTCGTAATTCAATGCACAAAAGTAACTTGCAGACTAGAATGTATGTTCATGACACCTTAACAGATGAGCAACATATTTAAACTCGAAACATAAACCATACGCTTATCGATATTTCCTAATGATTGTATATTTTGACATTCAGATCACGTTGATAGAATTTTTTCTGCAACTAAATCAGTTTACTGTTATCTTGTGTTTTCTTAATCTGCCTAAACCAATTCTTCGGCTAACCAACATTTTCTCTGACTTCCAGCCCCCATCCTCATCAAATACAATTTGAAGATTGAAACTTATTTGTTTTATTATTATTATTATTTCCTAGAGGAACATAGGGCTTCAGCCGTGCATCTCCATTGCGTTCGGTTCTCTGACAACGTTTTCACCTGGCTCCGAGTCTGCCAACATGCTTTCATCTCCTCTTCACATTACCTCCTCCATGTCACCCTTGCACTGACGACGAACTCGCCGCTTCCCTTTCGGGTTCCACTCGAGCAATGGCTTGTCTAGTGATGTCACTTGATGGTTTCCTCAGAGTATGGCCAATCCATCTCCATTTCTTCCTGCCTATTTGTTGCACAATCGGTTCATGTTCGGTTTTCTCCAACAGGTCCCTATTGCTGATCTTTTCTGGCCGGTCATCTATTCTTGAGTATTGAGCGAAGACAGCTGTTAATGAAGGTCTGTAGCTTGTTTGAGGTGCTCTTTATGACGCGCCAAGTCTCTGATCCGTATAGTAGCAGTGACTGCACATTGGAATTGAAAATCCGGATGTTATTTTTCATGCTGAGTGCTGTTGACCTCCACACAAACTTGAGAGAAATGGAAGGTTGTCTAGCTTTCCAGATCCTCGCTGTTTTGATATCCTTGTCAGTTCCGTCCGCCTGTAGTTGAAACGATGCTGCCCAGATAGGTGGTAAAGGAGGTTGTTTCTTTCAGGTTCCTCCCATTTATGCTGATTGTTGTCTGTTGTTGTTGTTTTAGATAATTTGTAAAAAGTAACAATGAGAGTAAATTCCCTTCAATATAGGTTCCGTCAAGAACTCGCGTCGGTTAGAGTCACTGGGAATTAGGCACCACTGGACAGCTGTGCTGTTATAGTTTATGACTCTTGCACAGAGCTCATCCACTACTCCAGGTAGAGATCACAGGTCAGTGAATTCCAACCCAAGTGGCGGGATGGTCGACCAGCTTGACCCCGTAACTCCAAGGTTTGAACCGTGCGCACGGATGAAGCGTCCGGAACTAGGATGAAACAGCTCTCCTGTCTTTCCGTAAATCTCCAACTGACGTCGGTTCGTGATCCCTAAAACCCACAATCAAATCAACCATTTCCGATGTATTTACAAAAAGGTATCATCAAAAAATAGGTGTTTTGCTTACCAACACGTATTAATCTGGTCAGAGTTAGATACACATCATGACAATCACGTTCTTTCAGTAGAATCAGACGAAGTACTCGAAAATCTTTACCACGTATAACTAAAGGTGCACCACCAGTAGTTAGTGGAAGACGTTCAACTGAAGAAATCAGTTGATTCTGTAACTAATAGTTGACAGAAAGGAAAAATAAACAGGATATTATTAATGATTTTAAATAATGCGATTATTTTGTCATAAAAAAAGAGAAATGTCACCAAAAAAAATCGACTCCACAAAAGCATCAAGTGTACTCAAATATATATGAGTTTAATTGACAACGGTAGAATGATAATTTTACTGGTCAATACGGCTAAAGGCGCTCCCCTATCCTATTATCAATCGTGAAGGGTGAGTATGTCATCAAATTCACAAGAGAAGAAGAATTAGATAACAAAATTCCATCCTTAGATGTCTTAATTGGGAGAACTAACACAGGAAATTAAGAAACACAATTATATAGAAAATCAACGCACACAGGCCAAATACTCAATTATAGTAGTAATAACCCAAAAGAAGCTATATGCAGACACTGTTTAAAAGAATTCAAACACACTGTAGCACTCCTGTGTTAAAGAGAATGGAGGAAAAATACCTATGAATAGTCTTCAAAAAGAACAGATATCCTCAAAACTTCATCAAAAAGTGTTAAAAATCGAGTTATGACACCAACAAAAAACCATCATCAATGACCACAAGAAAATTCATCCTACCATATATAAAAAATATCTCAGAAATAACAGCTAGAATATTAAGACCATTTGAAATAGATATAGCACAAAAGCCAGCCAGTGCAATCGCTTCATTCGATATTGTGCAAACCGAAAGATCCAACGGAAAAAGAAGATAAAATGAATACCATTTACAAAATAAATTGTATGAACTGCAACAAGCATTACATCGGCCAAAGTGGGCGTCCCCTTCGAATTAGAATCCAAGAACACAAATCAGCCGTGAAAAGACACGATATTTATTCTTTAGTGTCAATGCATATAGATAATTATGGTCATCAATTTGATTGGGATAATGTTGAAATCTTAGACAGAGGAAACACCAAAACTGCAGTCAGAGAATTCCTAGAAACCTGGTACTCAAACGAAAATGCAATTAACAAACACGTTAATATAGACGAAATATACCAACTAATAAAAAGTAAATCAGGTGACCAGAAAGTTTAAAATCCAAGTCAATAGGAAATGGTCAATACATATGTGAAGATAGTAACCAGAAGACGCAATTACATCACTTATGAAGAAATTTAAATCATTTCACTTTATGCTAAAAAAATTGCGCTGAAGATGTTGTCCAGAAGGACGATGAAAGCGTCGCAAGTAAACCAACCAGTTCAGAGAACACTATTAATTGCAAATCATCCACCTGAGCTACAAATCTTCTCTAGTATGCCATATACCGATTAAAAATTATGTATATATCTTGGTATGTTACACTTTCAGCCACAGTTATAACCTAAGAGCTATGGTAATATTTGATTAACTATACCTCAAAATGTTAAGAGTTCTCACATTGTAACTTAATGGTCGAAAGTCTAGTACTGGACTCAATTAACCATGTTTCTACAGTTTGTATTAGTAGAATAAGGCTGTCAATAACAAAAATCTTTACTATAATTTACAGTTTTACGGTATGGTTATTAATTGTAAACAACAAATGAGGCGAGAGGGATCAACTCCGGTACTTTCAAAGCATTTATGTTAAGTTTTAACCTTGAGGCCCACCACAGATGAGATGGTGCACACACTTTGAATAAAAAGAATACTGAGCACATATAATCTGCATGTACGAAAAGTTAGTTGGAGCTGGAATAACGAAGATGAAAGTTCATGGAAATTATCTTATGCATAACGAACAGGGTAACGAATACACAACAGTCAGGGAATTCAATGTCAAAGTATAAAAATCCTATGATTACCCAACTGCAATATTTGCAACCCTATGTGCTAGAGAAGAAAAACCGACTTTTGTAGGGTATACTTATCTTGATATACATATCTCTCATATATATCTACCAACAGTATATTAGCGGATAAGAAAAAAAAGAGATATTGAAACAGTGCAGAAAGAATAATAATTACCCAAATTTCTTGTCTTCTGGATAAACCAAGGAAAAATATATGAGTTAAAGTTAAGTGTAAAGTTCCACGAATATGTGCATTGCCATCGAATTGGTCTATGTAGAAAACGTCATTTACCTACAAAATAATATATTGGAAAGTTATAATACTGGTATGAAAAATAAGTTTCTTCTGTTACTATTAATACATGGAACTTACCGCATAACATCTTATATTCTAACATTATCTTTAGACTTGACAGCAGCAGAGACATAGAAAATGGTGCTTTATTAATATCAACATATGAACCTTCAGCAATTACTTCCATGTACAGCCACAGATGCTAGATATGGTTTAATTATACTCTTTGACTAAGTGACACACGGTACTTGAAGTGAATTTTGAAACCGTGAACCGGTGGTTGAACGTGAAGAGCTTAAAGCAATGAACCTAAGCTCCAATTGAGTATATGTCCACGTATTAAAACCATGGAAAATGACTGTTGCTTCAGTGAACCACAACTTCTCATTCCATCGACTGATAAATGCTACCCAGATGTGGTCGGGCTTGCATACCGTGGCGACCTAAGAAGCTACACTGGCTGGGACTTATGTTCCTGTAAGTTTTACCATGCCAGGACGGTTGTTTGGATAATGGTTAGACTAAAAGCAGAATCCAAACGTATCGAATAGCGTATGAACCTGTATTGGTCACCTGCAACCATGAGAAAATAGCTCCTGACGCTGCTATGATACCTTGTGGGAGAAACTTCAAGTCAAAGGCTCGGGGAGGGCCCTTCAGACAACCACCAGCTTCGGTCTGGGAGCCCTAGTAGTATCCCAGTCCTCGTAATAACAATAAAACAACAAATCATGAGGAAATTTAATCGCACGCTCTTTCTCACCCTCACAAACAATAATGATATTCCTAGCAACACTTTTATATGCGCTGATATAGGTGGTCTCAGAAATTCCACTATGATGAGAAAAAGCTCATTGGTCCAGAGCACACAACTAATACCACCTTTTTAAGTGGAAGAATGATCTGAACAACTTGGATGGAAATTTTAGCACACCTGGCATGCACTATACTCCTGTCAGACGTAAAACGATGCCACAAGACCTGCCTATTCCGACTTATGGTTTAAAGATAAGAAGTAAAACGACCTAATGTTTTCGCTACTTCACTTATTATGAAAATGTCATCAGTCTAATGTTTAGATGAGGATGCCAAACGTAAGATCCAAAAAGCAAGACAGATCCTCATTAATCTGAAATCAGTGCGGAAATCTGTTGTACTCAATATAAAGAGCAAGATTCAGATTTTTAACACTAATGTCAAGTCATTTCTTCCATATGGTCCACAGACTTGGCGCACGTCACCAAAAGCATATTCAACAGGCTACTGAGGAAATACATCTTCACTCAATACCGAAGTCTTTTTATTCCCTTACGTTCCCAGTGGAACATATGGCTTTGAGCATTCAATCGCTGTGCCAACTTTAATGCTGATAAACTACAAGTCACGTTTCCTACACGACAGATGGTGATTCCTCGATTGAAGGATAAAGTATCTAGACTAGCCAATTCCAACTGTATCCACCATTTTAACTGCGCTTGTGGAGCAAGTTGTATTGGCCATTGCTCTGGGGACTTGATCTCTAGTTCTCGAGAACATCCCCCAGTATGGCTAGGTAAAGGTGTAGTAAAAACCATCAACAGTTCGATATTAGACCACCTGTTCCAAACCGGCCACAAAACCAACATTGAATAATCTTTCTCCATCATCTATCAGGTACCAAATAAATTGCCAAAAAACATCCAGGTACCACATACTCCAAACATCTGAGGCTGTCGTAAAAGAACCAAGTCCAGCCAGCCACTACTACTGCGCTGGCCGACCTTCAGTAGAGACTAGAAATTCATAAATTTGTATTATTTTCTTTCTTAGTTCTCCTGATATTCAGTGTATCAGTATCTTGATGCCATCGAACCGTAATTCAGTGATATTATTATTATTGATACGATGTTATTTAAACAACATGAATGTTGTTAATAAAACTAATTTATTCACTACTATGTACATATAACTGTAGAAACTGATGATGAAGTCATCGAAAATAATATTCTTCGTTCAATAATGATTCTTCTGAAAACTTTTAATGGGTATTTTTAATCAGTTGAAAGTAAAAGTCAATAAGATTGATAGAAACACTAAGTGTAATCATATAGACGACAGCAAACACAGGGGAAGCGTAAAACATCCGTAGTACCACGATAGAGAGAATGTTTTTAAAAAAACCTTGAGCACGATTATTACCAAGAAAGGAATAAAAGTGACAATTATATCCACAAAATTCATCAGAAACAAATTGTCGGATTCTGTGGAGCCGTTACACAAAGTAGTTCAGTTGATTTAATACCATGTAGTGAATATCAGATCAAATACATATCGAATTAGAACATCACAGCACAAAAACTTAGTGAAGACCAGACTAGTGAACCCCAGAGATAAGAAATCCACAAAAAAGCTCAGATAAGACGCTAGTGACACAACCACACAATAAGATACGACAAGGCAACAATAATAAGGCCTAACATAGACGGGTGAGTAAAGATTATTAACGGTAGTGTTTCTTATCGAATCAACTAAGAACAAATGCGATAGGAAAACCTCCATATTTTTCTCGAACATCTAAAAAATCCTGCTAACCACACGGCACATTGTAAGGAAGAGTTGGGAGTACAAAAGCCAGAAAGCCGCGGTTGGGGATTTACACCTCAATATCCAAAAGCAATTTCACAAGCCAACATACACGGAACTGATTTCTTTCACCTGAGGTAGTACATTATCGGTTTGCAATGTGATTATGAATAATAAATTGTGCTCGAGACCTTATTGCCATTTAAATATGACCTGTAGCATACTGATAGCGTCAGTCAACACTCCCGGTTTTGAATGACTTCCCAACAGAAACTTTCTTCCCTCGTATTAGCAGTTAGCTCATAACTGTATGTAACAGGCGGTGTGTACACTATAGTTGTCATAGAGTGCTGACTCCCGCCACTTCTTACGGATCGAATGAGAATGCAACTTCAGTAAACAGTCTGAGCCTTAAATGAGCACTCTGAAATAAATTATGCTAACATAAGCCAAGCATATCTAACAGTAATGTATCATTTGGAAAAGCTCAACACGTCTTAGTACTACTCTCATCTTTCATACTGTGCTGTTTCTATTCCGTTTCCAAATTTTTTCAATACAGTTTGATCGCTTTGAATACAACGGTGCAAAGGAATATAAAAAGGAATAACACTTACTTGAGTAACAGTAATCTTATCCATGCACAAATGGAACGCATATGTTTAAATATGTTGCACTATAGTAAACAAAAGAAACTTGTGAATTTTGAAGCTTTCCCATTATGATACTAAAGATCTTCTGGTAACTACCAATATGGGATGACTGTTTATTTCTCTTACTCCTACCTTTTGAAGCAGTTAAGAGTTCCCCAAAGCTACTTATTTACAGCTTTCATGATCACTCAACATTGAGGGCTAACCTTCACCTAAGACAACTCGTACAGCTGAAGGTACACTATCAACTGCCCACACTTTTCGACACGCTGTCATGTTATGTTCAGTCATTTTCTCACTATCTATAGTTAGTTAAGTACTTTCGCTACCGCGTGAACTTTGAAAAGGGAGTGAATTTTACATGCTCTTGTTTAATTTTGGTTTTGTTGTGTTATACGCCCCAAAAGTCTAGAGAGTAACTTTAAACCAGTTTATTCTGATCGAAGTTAGTTTACGTTTCAGTTTTGAGTCTATTTAATTACAGGAAGTTGTGTTCTTATAACTTAATATTTATATATCCATTTATATGCACTCACTGGACTTTTTATCAAGGTTATATATGAAGTCATATATAAATAATTTTGCCACAATTCTCTCTAAAACGCATGCTGAACAATAGGAAACGCTGTGGAAGGGTGATGTTAGAATTTCCAGTGGAAGAGGGAATGCAGTGCGATAACCGCAAAAGATGGTTTCATGGCATGTGCACAAATCTGACTCCTGCAGCATACATGCGCTGCTGCAAACCTCTGGCGAAGTGTCAGTACAATGCTCTAGTACGACTAAGTTTCGTAAAACGGAAGCCACTGCCACTATGAGTGGGGCTGTAAAGCTCCTGGACCGCAAGGGTCATCCACCGCAGGAGAAGAGCGTCTACTGCTCAGACACCAATGACGTGACTAGTATCATCGACAAAACAATACACATTCCTGATGCGTCTCTGTTATGGAGTGAGTACCCTCTAATACAGAAGAATATCCACTAGATTCCAGACACCCATGCTGCCCCTACGATGTCGGAAAAATCCTCCACTGACTGACTGATCCCAGGGGCAGATTCGAGCATAACCCTAACTTGGTCAAGCCCTTTTTAGATAATCTACTGGCGAAAACAGTATGAGGCATAACCATACACCGCTTATATAGAATCAGCCAAAAGCCTGACTCTATAGTAAATCAACCTCTACGCCTTCTCAAAGTCGTACTAGACTCCAAATAAGAGTGGGATGCCATTCTGAGCAACTCTCAAACTCTTAAAGGATCAAGCATATACGTCCGTGTCGACTTATGTCTAGCAGACCGAATCTAATTCTTTGTGCTGGTTGAGTGCAGAGGATTTCCAAACTGGTTTCAGGTTGATGAAGGCGTATCTTGCCTTTCCGACTCTGGCTGGCTTCGACATCTTCAGCCGTTCCGCCGGCCTTTGGTTGAAACGTGCTTCCTGGATTAGTGAAGGAATTAACCTCTATTGAACCTCTCCCTTTGATGGTGACCGGCGCTGGTTCCTGTTGCTGTCAGTTGGTTCTCTCCATCACCTCCGTCTTCTTTATGTTCACCTGGGGTCGTAATTTCACTGCTAGCCTGCTCTTTTAGTTTATTGGTTTTCACCTGTAAGTCTTCGAGTCTTTGTGGGATCAAACATATATCATCAGTGAAATTGAGATGTTGTAGAGTCTTCTCATCGGTTGTCCAGAATATTCCTGTCTTCTCATTCCCCTCAGTCTGACACAATCCAGCCCACCACAATTAAGAAAATCACCAGTTATAGAAGAAAGGCAGCCTTGTCTTACTCCTGCGTTCACTTCAATCGCCTGAGTTTCCCTTTGTGGATCTTCTAACATGTGACATTGTCATATAGACAGCTGTTGAATGACCTGGTTTGTACATATTTCCTTGAACATCACCTTCAGAGAGTTCCAGTGTTCCTCCATTAAGGTTTCCTCACTGACACCACGTAGTGTCTCCGACTTTGCTCTCATCTGATCCATGGTGAAGATATGCCCTGTGGTTTTATCCTTTAGTTTATGAATGTTGAACTAGAACTTTAGCCTGTCTTCAGTTGTTCTGAAGGATTTCAGCTTCACTCTCAAGGTTCCTTGAACTAGGTGGTGGTGCGAGCCCGCATCTGCTCCCCTTCTCGACTTTGTGTCCATCGGGCTTCGTCTCAACTTCCTTAAGCAGCATTGGAATGAAGTCGATCTGGTTTTTGGTGTGTACGTCAGGCGAAATCTCTGTTACTCTATGTATGTGCTTGGGCTTGTACACGCTCCTTCGATCGCCAGATCATCGAAAGCGCAGAAGTCTGCGAAGAGTTCTCCACTCTCCTTCATTACACCAGGTGATAGCCTCTCTACCCGTGATAAGTTCTGTTCCTGTATTATCTGCTCTCAGTTCCGTTGGCGCTCATATCTCACATGAGCATTTTAATGTACCATTTGGGATGTTGTCCGTCATCGTTTGTAGTTGTCTGCAGAAATCTTCCTTCTTCTTTAGTTCCGCGTTATTTGTAGGTGCGTAGCGCTGTATAACTGTAACCTACCTTTTGAGTGGAATCTTGCCGTCATTATCCTGTGGGGTGGAGAGTGGTTTTCACTGCACGAGATTTTTGCCTGCTGTCGGTGACACGATAGCCACTGACTGCCTCAGAGCGTTCGCTATTGTCGTCCGGGTGGCCATACCGGAGTAGATTACTGACTTTCCAGTTGATAACTGGTATTCTTCACACGCATTCCGTCTGCTCTCTCAGATTTATATGTAATGAGGAGCTTAGCAATCCATCTAAGGATTATCTATTTGTTTATTCCCTCTAGCGTGTAACTGAACTGATTTAGCATCCTATCCTGATATCTTGATCTCATAATTTCTAGCGGAAATTCTTTGCCCATGTTTGGAAATGTGAACTTGTTTAAGGAACTAATAAGCATGCTGGAGCCATAAATGAAACTGATAAAGTTGTGAGACTTATGGGATAAATCCGCCTTGTGATGATACTTGCCATTTTTACTTTTTCGATCATGTTGTTGATTTACTCCAGAAACTGTGCAATAACTGAAATTGTGACATTCTGATATGGTGTTTTGGTCGTACGTAATCATTTGTTGCTGCTTGGTAGGTACAGACATTTTTATTTTTTTTGTCACGTCTTTATCTCTTCGTTCTGCCTTTGGCATTGCTATACTCTTCAGTTTAAACCCTTACGTCTGTACTGTGGCCAAAGATTCTGATTCCTCTGATGATGCTGATCTGTTTATGCATCCTTAAAATTCAACTGATACTCACCTGCTAATATATACATCGGGACTTAATTTTTCTTAATTACACCTTAGGGGACGAAGAGGCCAGACAAGTGTGTGAGACAATGACAGGGTGATCCGTGCATGTATCCATCACTATCAAGGTATTGATTTCCATTAGACCAGGAAACAATTCAGAAACCGAAGTCATGGGATATGTTTGGGGGTAAGCATTTCGTGGTTACTATTTGTTTATCCAAACAGAATGGGTGCATAAACAACCGAACTTGATGCGATAGAGTAACTGCCCCCAACTACGTGCTTTCAGCTCACTCAGGTAATTTGGTCAGTGGTCAGCACGAAGTGCTGAAAGATGTCAGCCGTAGGCTAATACATTCGGTAAATAATTTATTACAGTAATATCATTCCGCCAATGTGAACTTCAGATTTGCTAGTTCTACCTTGCCACATGAAGTTACCACTCAACAGCACATGCCTCAATTATTGGAACCTATCGCAAGTGAAAAGAATCACACAAGACCTGGTGGTAGATAAAGATGATAACCTGAAAATTTTAAATCAGCTGCTGCTGTACTGCTGCCTTAGAATATCTGGCGAGTTCTGGCTTTTTACGGTGTTAACAAACACATGAACTAACTGATCCCATTTACCAACGAAGGCCGGTACAGGTCCGGAATTTCACCAAGCAACTGTAAACTAATAGGTAAACACCTCCATAGCAGAATGCTTATATGTAAGTAGGGCGGTTGCTAACTCTAGATATACACAAAAAGCTTAGAGAATACTTCAGGCGTCATTCAAGCAAATAGGAACTATGCTCTGGTTTCTCCATAAATTGTGGAATAAAATACATCGTCGCTTATTACATTGTGCATGTCAGCGTTCCATGAAAACGTAAGGCATCAGTGCTGACAGCTGTAGTTGACGGATGTGAAATTTACTATCAATTATTTAAAACGACTAGAAGGCGATGACGCCGGCTTTTGCGCCAGTGTAGTGTCACTGATGCTTGGCAAATGCCTTTACTACAGTGCTTCAGTCATTCTCCAAGGACCATAGGATCCTCTAAATCACAGAGGACTGATGTTCTAAGGCGTCTCAAAAGAACGTAGGAATTTGTAATTGCTGTTACAACTTTTCTAGTTATCTGGATATAATTTTTCCAATACCACAAGTTTTTAGTTGACATCTAGCAATACGTCCGTTCATAAAATGTTTCGGAGGAACTTGCAGTACTGACGTGGGATGGTCACTTATCAGACTCAAAAATAACATGCAGTATTATGCTGTCATTAAAAGGTTAGTATGTAGCGTCTAGATGTTGTGACTGAGCTCTAGTGATTCGTCAGGTTGTTGTCTAACTTGATTAGAGTGGGCCTTCAGACACTTTGGTCAGTCGGTGACTCGGAGGTATTCCCCACACTGAGGTAGACACGGCAGTCAGATATCACTCAGACAATTGAGAAAATAATTTTATTACGCATAATATGCAGTAAATTATCCTGAACACATCAGCATACATTTTAAACCACGGATATATATTCAGTATCCGACTGATTGCATGAATCATGATTTTTTATTTTATTTTGAATATAGCTTGAAACCACACATTATTTTCGGTAGAAGTATGGAATTTTCACCATGTGATATCGGTAGCCCAAATTTAGCAGGCCGACCGATTGATATCAGGTGTGCGTCGGCAAGAGGTCGAACCCCGGACCATGTGCATGGTCGGCGAGAGTCCCAACCGCTGTACCACCACTGTTAACAGTGATGTGTTGCCCG